CAGCCCCCGGGGTGCAGGGACCCTGCTGGCAAGGACAGCCCTGCCCACCCCTGCCTGCACACCCACCTTCACGCCCCTGGAGCCGTCTCTGGGAGAAGGCAGCTGACCTTCATTGTACCTCTGAAGGTGCAGCAGGGCATCCCTGCTCTGAAGCACATCCTCGTGCTCCACAGCAGAAAAGCCAGGAGATCCTGACAGTTCCTGTCAGCCATGGCATGTGCCAGCTCTAGGAGACACTGCCAGGAACTCATCTGCATTGCCCCGCAGCCACAGACTTACCATGTGAAAGGCTGTGAAGGCTTCTCCCCTGGTGAGCTCTCACCTTTCCTCCCACCCCAGACTGTCTTTACCGCTCTCTCCCTTCTCTCCTCTGCCCTCGCCGCCTGCAGGCAGTGCCCTCAGCCCCTCTGCGCTCTGCAGAGGAGCTGCTCCGGGGCAGACCTGTCTCTCTGCAGCGCTGCCCGCTTGCCAGGAGCTCCCTCCGTCCCAGGAGCCCGGCCCAGATCAGCAGAGAGGACCAGCCCACGGTGTCACATTCTCTGTCCCCTCTGGGCTCCCTCCAGGGGTCCCTGGGGCTCCAGGGGAACCTGCTGGGAAACTGTCTGAAGTCATCCCTGATGTTCCCTCCCTCAGCTGGGGAGAGACACTTCTTTCCAGCAGTGCCATTTCCCCTGTCAGAGACAGAGTTATGGCCAACTATCACCTCTTCTTGTCCCACTAAGAGACCACACACCCAGGCAGTGAAAGGCAGGAATCTCCTGTACCCATGCAAAGCACAGGTGACACCTGAGGTGCCACGAGTGGTCCAAAGCACTTGCAAGTAACTGATGGAACCATTCAGAGGGACAGGGCTGCATCTGGGCTCATCATTTTGGAGGCTGCTGGGCATGTCTTTGGCCCGCTGAAGTGACAGCAGGTGCCCACCTTCAAGACAATGAAGCCTGATCCTGCTCAATGATGTCCAGAACAGCCTATAGAGACGGTCCTCTGAGCAGATGGAGCCATTGCCATCAGAGGAGCTAAGTCTCCCTCTTGTGTCCACCAGGTGTCTTTACCAGACCTCCTTTGGCACCCATGGGCGGGTTCTCACAGACACCCCTACAGTGCCTAACCTCATTCAGGGCAGCTGCTCCACTGAAAGGTTCCCTACAGCCTGTGGTGGGAGGTGCCAGGGCTCTCCAGCACAACCGCAGGCAGCCAGCAGGGACAGCACAAGACCTGCAGGAACACCATCGCCATTCGGAGCAGCCGTGGAACACACCCCAAGAGAACCTCAGGGACGTTCAGTGCTTTCGTTCAGGAAACTGCAGTGAGGCGAGTCCTGTCCCATCTCCATCCAGTAGAAGTAGGCAGTGGTTCTCCCACAGCCTTCAGTCATCCCTTTGATGATGCAATCAAGGAACAAAGCAATGATTTGCCCAGTGATCTTGGATCGCCAAGGACATTTTCAAAGCACCTGTACCATCCTCATCAGCCTCAGCTCTAGAGGCAAAGAGTGGAGCCTCAGCTGGCAGGGGGAGTGAGGAAGGAGCGAAGCAGAGGGCAGATGCCAGGTCTCACAGCGGAAGATGTTGGCCTATGGCAGGAGCTTTCAGTGGCAGCATCACTCAAGGGGAACAGAATTCAGTGCAACTGCTTTTCAAGGACAGCATTCTCTGAGCCCATAAAATGTCCATGCTGATGTTCCAGCAATCAAGTGGACCTCTCAGGACACCGACTTGGCTAAACAGGCCACTCATCAGGAAGCTCTGCAGCAAAAGGGAAGCAGAGATGGTTTGGATGTTTGGTATCACTTCAAAGGAGGCATTAAGAAATAGAGTGTGTTGTAGGAAAGCCAGAGCTCCCTTGGAGTTAATACTTGTGAGGAGGTCCAAGAGCATCAAGATGAGCTCTAAGTAGTGAAGTTAAAGTTCGAGAATAATCAATAAAAATAAAGACTGTCCACTGCTGAGTTTTGTAAGAGAAGGTCCACATATATCTGAAATACTCTTTTGTCCTCTTTGCCTTTGTCTTCACCCACAAGGTGTCCCAGGCATTTGTGCCTTGGAGCAGGACTCTGGAGAACAACCAGCAGCGGATGTGCATCAAGTCAGGGGTTATTGAGCAAGCTCAGAGATTAACAGTCCACAGAACTGGTGGGGCAGCATCCAAGGGTGCTGAGAGAGCTGATGTCACAGTGAGGGTCACTCTGTATGGGCTTTGGTAGTTCATGGAGATGAGAGAAACTCCATGGCAACTTGGGAAAAGGAGTAGAGTAGAGTAGAGTAGAGTAGAGTACAATAATGGTCCAACTGCCTTGCCAATTCAGGGTTTGCCAAAAGTTGAAGCATGTTGTAAAAGGCATGGTCCAAACAGTGCCTCTCCGTTTTCCCTCCTCTAGAAGCTGGAGAGAGCAAGGAGGTCGCCCCTCAGCCTCCTTTTCACCAAACTAGAGAAGCCCAAAGTCCTTAGCTGCTCTCCATAGGACATTCCTTCCAGCCCTTTCACCACCTTTCTTGCCCTCCTCTGGACACATTCCAGGACCTTCACAGCCTTCTCAGATGGTGTGCCCCAGGACTGCACACAGTGTTCACGGTGAGGCTGCACCAACACTGAAGGCAGTGGCACAATCACCTCTCTTTCCCGGCTGGTGATGCTGTGTTTGATGCACCCCAGGGTGCGGTTTGCCCTCATGGCTGCCAGGGCACACTGCTGACTCCTCATGAGCCTGCTGCCACCCAGAGCCCGCACGTCCCTTTCCAAAGGGCTGAAGCTCCTCTCCCAGTTTATACTTGTACCTGACATTACTCCATCTTTGGTGCAGGATCCAAAATTTGGACATGCGAAATTTCACCACATTAATCATTGGCCAGTGCTCCAATCTCTCTAGATCTCTCTGAGAGGCATCTTGTCCCTCAAGAGTGTCAATTGCACCGCTCAGTTTGGTATCATCAGCAAACTCACTCATGGTGCATTCAACTCCTGCATCCAAATCGTTGATAAATATCTTGAACAGAACTGGCCCCAGAATTGAACCCTGAGAAACCCATTGGTGACGGAACCCCAGCCAGATGGAGCCCCATTCACTACAACCCTTGGAGCTCTGACCTTCTGCCAGTTCTTTACCCAGCGCGCTGCGAACCTGCTCATCCAGAAGGATACTTTGAGGGACAGCATGTATTGTAGACACAGTCAGTGTGGACAGAGAGTCACCAGAAAAGCTTGGGACATCCTGGGTCAGAGTGACACGAGGAACCAGGTGGGTGGTTAAAATCTGCAAGGAAGCAGGCACAGTCACAGGACAGGGTAGGACAGCCTGCAGTGGGGACAACCAAGGGCCTTGGAGGGTCTGGGACACCCCCCCAACACAACTGAGATCCTTGTCCTCTTGGCTACGGCTGCTGTCTCTTCCACTGACACCCATAAGAGGACAGATGTTCCTTATGTCCCCAGAGCTTCTGTACCTCCTCACCTCCGCAGAGGCCGGGACTTGGCCCACTGCTGTCCTGCACTCAGCGTTGCACAGCCCCACCTCTCCCTGTCCCCAGGAATGGCCCCGAGACTCCCAGGAGAGAAGAACGCCCTTTCCCAGGGGACGGGGCTCGGGGCTTTGCTCTCTTCATCGATGACATGCAGCAAAGCTTTTCAGAGCCACCTCCACAGTTGGGTTTCAACCTCTAACCACTGCCTCTGACTTTCTGCAGCACATGTCCCCAGGGATGGGAATCTTGCCTGCGCATTCCCTCCACGGTCTCTCCAGTGATGGCCCACTAACACCCTCAGAAACGTGGAGCTTTGCTGCTGACTGTTACTTCTGCAGAGGCTTGGTCAGTCTGTCAGGAGCTGCAGTTGAGGAACTTTGCACCAGAGGGCTCATGAACATGCAAAACTCCCGAACAAGCCAGGGCAGAGTGTCCCTGAATTCCTCAGTCTTTTAGATTGTTAATGAGAAAGATTTCAGAAGGGAAAATATTCCAATACTAAACAACAATAACAAACAACTTCTTCTTTTTCAGTTTTTTTCGATGCTTTTTTCTTACACAGGCAGTGGACGTCAGCAATCTCCAGTCACTACTGATTCTAACTCTCCTAATGTGGTCTGAATACCCAAGTCAAGACCCTTTCCCTCAGACCCTGCACAGGCAGTCTTCGTTCCTGTCCCTACACCCCCACCATCCCTCTCGCCAGGTCCCTGGGGTTTACAGCAGCCCTCTTCAAAGCTGAGATTTCCCCAGTAGAGTCTGTAGCTGCGTGTTTCAGCTCGCTGGCACCAATGCCCACCTGCTCCGCTTGGAGAACAAGCTGCATGCGTGGCCCTCCAAAGGAGGACCATGAAGATGGTCCAAGGGCTGGAGCACCTCTGCTGTGAGGAGAGGCTGCGAGAGTTGGGGGTGTTCAGTTGGAAGAAGAGAAGGCTCCGGGGAAACCATGCTGCAGCCTTACAGTGCCTAAAGGGGCTCCAGGAGAGCTGGGGAGGGACTTTTTACTGGGGCATGGAGTGACAGGACGAGGGGGAATGGCTTCCAACTGGAAGAGGGGAGATTTAGATTACACATTAGGAAGAAATTTTTCACTCAGGGTGGTGAGCCCCTGGGGCAGGTTGCCCCGAGAAGCTGTGGCTGCCCCATCCCTGGAGGTGTTCAAGGCCAGGTTGGACGGGGCTTGGGGCAACCTGGGCTGGTGGGAGGTGTCCCTGTCTATGGCAGAGGGGTGGAACTGGATGATCTTCAAGGTCCCTCCCAACCCAAACCATTCTATGATTCTACGACTGCGCGATGCCAGGTTCAGGTCAGCAGTAGTGACTGTCTCAGGCTCTGTGGAGGGTGGGTGAAAAACAAACAAGGCTCAAGAGCTTTAAGAATCTGATGTCCTCTCATGGGGCATAGTGGAGGAGACAGAAGCCACAGATTAACGAACAAGGGTCTTAGTTCTGTTGGAGTCACAAAACCCCACCGAGGCCCTTGGCCATCCCCATTACAACTACAGTGTTCTACTGCTGTGTCTGTTTCTTTGCCCCCAGCACCAAGCTGGGGGTTTCTGAGGACTGGCCAATGCCTGTGAGTTCCCCACAACCCATCTGTAGTCTTCCAAATCCTTGCTAACTCTCCTTTCTCACCCACGTTTTCCAAGCTCCAGACACACTAGAATCTTCTGTGTAGCTCCACGTCCCAGCACTGAACGTCACATCCTCCTGCTGTTGCCACACCATCAAAACTCGGCCTGTTGCACTTCAGAGGAAACCCCGTGACATTTCACTTCCCCTTCCTGCCTTCACAGCACTCACTGCTACACCCACACCGCTCTGTCCCTGCACGCCCGTGTGCCCCAAAACCCCTTCCTCTTCCCCTGCAGTGATGGCACCTCAGCCCAGGAGGTTTGTGCATCCTCCAGGCTCACGGATGTTTCCTGAGGGCCATCCAAGTGTGAGGAGTTCAAGAAGAAAAGAGCATGGTCAGCTCATGGGGAATGACTGATGGTGTTCCCCACCTGCCGGGCTGAGCCACGCACATGGGATGGAAACGCTTCTCATCGCTGATCAGCATAGGAGGGACCTTCTGTACTGCTGCATTCTCTGGGAAACCCTCTTCCTCAGCATCCACCCAAAGACAACGATGTGGGGACTGAGGCAAAAGAAGGGTTAAGTGTGGTAGAACTAATCGGGAGGAAGGAGCAGCTGCAGCACTGTTCTGGCAGAGGATGAAGCCGTCTGAAGCTGCTCCCCAGATAAGGAGGTGCTGCTCACAGGGAAGAGAGATTCCCTTCTCAGTGGGAATGCGATCTTTTAGAGCACGCGATGGTGTGAACAAGTAAAGGAGAAAATTACTGCCCTTGGTAGAAAAGTATATAAAGAGCACGCTTGCTTAATAAAGCTGATTTCGATCCTGCATATCGGAGTCCGTGCCTTTCAATCGCCACACAACGACTCTTTTCTATTGCTTTTTATAATCTTTCTTGTTTCCTCCAGAGCTCATGGTGAGCTTTCCTGCCCCTAACAGGGCCTTTTTGACCATCTCGTAGGAAATGGTTGTCCTTTTATGATCCTCTGTGCACAAAGAGCAGTCACAGCAAAGCACCAAATATATGCAGACGGACGCCGAGGGAAGGACCCGTGAGAACCAGGTGAGCTCCCCCCGTGCCTGTGGCTTCCTGGCAAGGAGACAATCTTTGGCCATGGTGGAGGAGGAGAAACATGCCACCGAGAACAAGATGAGGGGGCTTGATGTGACTCAAGCCAACGTGAACAGGTTCTGAGGAGCCCCAAGGCTGGTTGGGTCGAGAAGACTCAAGGCTGGTTGGGTTGCTTCACCAAGACCCCAGGCTGGTCAGGTTCTCCTGCATCTCCAGCTCAACCAAGAGCACAAACAACCTCCTGGCCCTTGTCCTGTCTCTGGCCCTGAGCTTCAGGCCTGATGTTTCTCCCCCCGCAGGTCAAGAACCTGACAGAGGAGATGGCTGGGCTGGACAAGATCATCATTAAGCTGACGAAGGAGAAGGCGGCCCTGCACGAAGCTCACCAGCAAGTGCTGGATGACCTGCAGGTGGAGGAAGACAAGGTGAACAGCTTGACCAAAGCCAAAGTCAAGCTGGAACAGCAAGTGGACGATGTGAGTAGCTGATCCCTGGGGTGGTGAAGGTCCTGCCGGGCATCTGGGGGCTGATGGGGGTGCGGGGTGTCTCCGCAGCTGGAGAGCTCCCTGGAGCAGGAGAAGAAGATCCGGATGGACCTGGAATGGGCAAAGCAGCAGCTGGAAGGCGACTTGAAGTTGACCCAGGAGAACATCATGAACCTGGAGAATGACAAGCAGCAGCTGGAGGAGAGGCTGAAGAGGTAGGCCCCCCTCCACCCTGTCACCCTTTACCTACAATGCCGCTCTCTGCCGAGGAACCCAACACGTTGGTGTTTCTCCTCCCCCGGGAAAGACTTTGAGCTCAACACGCTCAATGCCAGGATCGAGGATGAGCAAACTGTGGTGGCCCAGCTCCAGAAGAAGCTCAAAGAGCTTCAGGTGAGGTGGGGTTCAGCCCCAGGGGGTCACCTGGGAGGAGCTGGACCTCCCGCTTGGCTTCTTCTCACCTTTGTGAGAAGGACCTAAAGTAGCCCTTAGGGTCTGGCGCCCACCATAGAATTCACAGAATTCACAGAATCACAGAATGGTTAGGGTTGGAAGGGACCTCTGGAGATCATCTAGTCCAACCCCCCTGCCAAAGCAGGGTCATCTACAGCAGGTTGCACAGGACAGCGTCCAGGCGGGTTTTGAATGTCTCCAGAGTGGAAGACTCCACCACC